GGAAGTTTAAAGATAAATCTTGTCATCACAATTTCAGGAAAACCAAACCCATTTACTTCAAATTTTCACACATATTACATGGTAAGAAGTTCTAGAGCTAATTAACCTTTTGGTGGCCAACTTGCATTCTGGCGTCCATCTTGGAAGTTTTGTGGATAAATCTTGTCATTGTGATTCCAGGAAAACCACTTTACTGATTTTCTTGAAACTTTCACACATGTTACAAGGAAGGTTACATGCTACCTTTTATATTGATATAAACAGGGGCAAAAGGCAATAAAGTGGGGTTACACAAGGGCATGGTATTCTAAGGAGAATGTTATCTATTTTTCTGTATTTTAAACCACATAATTTGGGAATGTACTAAAAACCCTTCGACCTATGACCCTTCGACCCTACGACTTACTGGGTGTCAAGAATTTTTGGAACATATTTTTCTGAAAAACCCTTCGACCTCTGATTTCCCAGTCCAGTTTTCTAAATGATTATGTATAGTTCCAACTTGAGCTCCCCATAGGATTTAATCTACCTAATCGGAAACTGTTTTGTACGTACTCTTTCAATGGAAACATAGTTGGTAATTTTGAACATCACCCTTCTTCAGCCTTATAATTGATAATAATGTTGATCGGGCAGTCTTACCTGGGACCAATTGCTTTCACTTTTTGAACCTGATTTCAAGTCTAAAATGTAGGTTATCGACACCATATTTCTCTCGGATACTGGTTATACAATAAGATTATGTTTGTAACTCAAAAATATAGCAATAAATTATCGCTACCTTGTCTAATTACAATTCAATTTGACCAGGAAGTGCTCACTTCTGGATATGTTGATCGGGCAGGAAGACTTTCGTTTTCCTTCAACTCAAAACTGAAGCAAGCTGTCGCCGATTTTGGCTAAACAGAGGAATAGAACATGATCTAGTATCTTCAAAAAGACATACCTTAATTCCCCGTCTCTAACGATTTCAAAGTTTTACCGATATATTGGATCAAAACAAAGACAAATAATGTTTTTTTTTAAAGTTTTACCGGTAAAATTTATTGCAGTTTCATCTGTCAATCAACTTTGAAACAGACCCACCCACATATGACGTTTGACCAATCAGAAAGCATTTCAAAATAGACCAGTGCATGAAGTGTGACTCATGAGAGTTTAGCTTGTGCCAACAGCCAATCAAATCAAGCTGTCACTTTATACAAATACAATGCTTGTGCTATGTTTTTTAATTTGTTATTGCGAGCGGAAGTATTGCTTATTTTAAAATTTAAATCAATTGGATTGCGGCTTACTTACATACAGATACATGACATATGTTTGGATCAGCATCCACGGAAAAAAATCAAAACAAAATTAGTTTCAAACTTTTTATTCATGATATTGCCGCGACCAATATTGATGAATACAGTCAACAGCTGACAGTCAATCAGGGTAAGCTTATAGGTCGTTTTTAATACGCCAGGGAGACTTGTATTTTGGAAGAAACACGCCAGCCGCTAAAACAAGGCGCCGCAGGCGTCCTGGCGTGTGGGAATCTTAGGGTCTACATTGTAATATTTCCAGCAACTTCATACATGTATGGACTGAGAAATTGAAGGTCACAGGGTTTTTATAAAAATATATTCCAAAAATTCTTGACACCCTGTAAGTCGTAGGTCGTAGGGTCGAAGGGTCGAAGGGTTTTTAGTACATTCCCATAATTTGACATAAATGCATATTTGGTGTATGATATCATGTTTTATATTGATAGAAACATGGGCGCTACAATGGGGTAACACATGGTGATATACATATACAAATACATATTTTTACTCTGCTTCTGTACTTTATACCACTTGAATGCATTTTGTGTATGACATCGATTGATTTTTAGAATAAATAACGGAATGTTATAAAAACCCTTCGACCTTCGACCTGCACCTTCGACCTTCAGCTTCGACCTACAGGGTGCCCAAAAAGGGGGCCAAAAAGAAAGTTATAAAAACCCTTCGACCTGCACCTTTGACTTTTCTTATGAAAATTGTCAAAGTCCAAAAATATTTCTTTGAAAAACGACTAAGTCCAACTTCACATAGATTATGAAACTGAACGGGGCTCTGTCCTCGTCGAAAGCTAGCTGTCATCTCTTGAGTTTACATCGGCGAAATACCTTATAGGCCTGGTGACGTCATCACTTTTCGGACAAGATTTCAAAGTTAAATAACAAGTTATTGACGCCATATCCCGTTTTAATATTGATCACACAACAAGACTATAATTGGAACTCAATAAATAGAACAGTAATTGATCGCTACTTACTCTTAATGATCTCACCTGTGACCCACAAATCAAGTGACTCTTGCGTGGTCTGAGATCGGCAAAAATAGCTTCTATAATATTTTCTTTTTGGACACCCTGTAAGTAGAAGGTGAAGGTCGAAGGTGCAGGTCGAAGGTCGAAGGGTTTTTATAACATTCCATAAATAACTACATTTCATCAAAAAGAAAAAAGATGATTGAAAACGTCAAACATTTCTTTGAAATCCATTATATTGCATGTAGTGATTTTTGAGAGCGAAATGTATGCTAAATTGGCCTTGATCTGAGTATACGATGGAATTAAAGCTCTTTTAAACGAAAATGTAAATGCGTGGAAAACCTTTCACTGTGCATCATGTCAACGAAATGTTCTTCATGCAGTTGAATTATCTTCTGGACAGGTGATCACACAGAAGGAGAGACCTGCGTATCATATCCTTACTAAATATAAACAAAAATGACAAATGAGAAAGGAAAAAAGTGTAAAGCAACCTAGTGGGAAAAGCAAACTGTAAAGTGTAAAACTGGCAAACAAAAATCAAACCTGAATATCCCAAGACAATAATCTAATATGGGAATAAACAGCATCCACACCGTTCAATGACCAATTCCTCATCAACGACCACAACTCCAAGGGACATTCCATTCATACTGAAGTCATTAATTAAAATACATGTTGAAGAAAAATTGAAAATAATGATATCCAATACTCATAAGATCAAAAATAGTTGTAGATACTATAGTACTCATAAAAGCTGCAGATAACGTTTCTTCATCGGGAAAGCAAGCTGTCTCTTAGTCAGATATTAACTAACGAGCTGGTTCAGAGCACCAGCATGTCAAACTATGTGAATGGGCTCTGTATCCACAATGTTGCGAGTTCGAGACACATGTGCTCAAAAATCACTTAAACCTGCACTAAAACTGGGCTTTGTATAAAAAACCTCCTACCCACGTACCCTCGGTACGTGGGTCCTGACCCAGTCTTTAAAGAGTTAAATCTTTAACATTTTTTAAACATTATTCTATCTCAATGTATGCTTAATTATGGATGTATTTATATACCCATATGCCTTTATTTCTAGATCGGACATCTGTCTCGTCATAAAATAAAGCCGGCATTGCATAATGTTCATTGGAGCTATTTGAGTGTTGTTTTTGATATATCGAAGCGATTTTTTGTTGATCGGGCAGTCTTACAGTGTACAACCAATCTATTGCTTGGCGCAAATTCGACCAAGCGCATATATTTAGTATTTTTGTCAGTCATACTTTTAATAGTCCTATACCTTTAAATTTACCATAATGT